AACATTAAGTTATCATTATGTATCTCTAGACTGACAACTGTCAATCTCCCTATAAATCTACCCACTGCAGACACTCCACGTGGCCTTCTGGAATGGCAGGGGATCACCCAAAGAAAATCAACTAAAACATGTGGCTTGCCAAGCAGTGATGGCGCACACCTTTAATTCCAGCACTCTGGAGGCAGAGGCTTGCCAAGCAGTGATGGCGCACACCTTTAATTCCAGCATTCTAGAGGCAGAGGCAGGTGGATCTCTGAGTTCCCAGACAGCCTGGTTCACACAAAACCCTGTCTTGAAAAACAAAAACAAAAACCCACGGTCATCACCAGGTAAATCTGCAAAGCCACAACTATCCCCAGTGTGTCGGTTCCATATCAGCACCGACCAGGGTATCTTCAGTACATTGATATTTTGGTTCCAATATCAGTACCAGTCTTTAGAGCCACAATGTAGGAAGGCTGGTATAAAAGAGACAGACAGCTTAGGCTACATAGCAAGACTCACCAAAACAAAAAAGAAAAAGAAAGACAGGTGAACACGATGTACCATTGAGGGCATGGGATGGGGTAGGTAACATGAACTTCAAGTGTCAGAGGCAAGCACTCTACCACGAAGCTAAGTGCCCAGCCCTTTGCATCTGATCAAATCTATCAACCTCCTCCATGGCTTTTTCTCTTGCTTCTGGGCCTGTGTTTTAAACTGAGCTGAGAAATTCCAGATTTGATCATTTAACCTAGTTGCTGCCTGCTTCTGTTGCATTGCCTCTGCAATGGCTCAGCACAGTATGCAGGATCAAATCATTGCATCAAGGTAATTTCTCAGGGAACACCTACAGAAACAGAATCTGCATTTTAACAAGATCTCCAAGTGATTCATATGCATATTACAGTTTAAGAAGCACTGCTGAAAGCTTCCACAGACACAAAAAGTTGGGTCTCAGAACTCTGCTTTAAACATTACTACTGAGCAAAAAGCATTCCATGCCCAGGACAGAGACTCTGAGCCCCCATGAGGCAGCGAAGACACTGAGAACCGGCTTCCAAGGCTCCTGTATCAGTGATAAAGGCTCCTCTCCCCTCGCCTGTCCTTCAAAACCCAGGATCGCTGAAGTGCAACGCAGTTGGAGAAAAGCTCCAAGCAAGTATCACAAAAGCTCCGGAACATTAATTCTGCAATCACATACTTGCTGGGAGTTCAGAAAATATCCTCTTTTAGGGGACACCATTTCAAGAATACAAAGCTAAAGAATATTATGGCTTCTAGTAACAAGCGAGGGTTATTTATGAGTTCCTTAATGAGGCTGTGATGGCCTTACAAAGGTCATCACACAGCAGATGAGACAGAAAAGCCTTGTTTAAAGGGATGCCCACCTCCCACCCACTCCTTTCCTAGACAAATGCTCTCATGGATTGTATTCATAATCTTTCTGATACATCCTAGAGGCTCAGTAAATGTTCTAAAATGACAAAAAAAAATTAATGACATAAGCTACTTTTGTTGGCCTTTATTGATATAAAGCATAATTACTTTAATTAAATTCCTTAGTTTTGAGAAGTTTCTGAAAACTAAAACATCATTCTATGCCTCAAATGAAAATGGTAATAACATTCTCCCACCCCCTTCAAGGTAAGGTTTGTACTTTCTATTAATAAACCCATTCTGATGTTCCATGACCCTCCCTATTAAATACATCAGCCTATACAATTAGTAACAATTGTGTCTGTGAAAGATGGGGAAATCAACTGTTAGCCAGCAAATACAATTTTGGATGTGGGGAAGATATTGAAACAGTTTCTTACTTCGTATCCCACGATGGCCTTGAACTTTCAATGCTGCTGCTCCAGCCTTCGCAGTCCTAAGATTATGGGCATGTGCCACCACATCTCAGTAATGTGACCATTGAACACAAGGAATATGGTGTAAAGATCAAGTATTATTTGTTTGTTTGTTTTTTTCTGGGTTCAGATTTAAGACATCTCAAGGTAATATTTATTCAAAATTTCTATAAGAAAATTGAACCAAACATTAGAAACAGTATCACACCCACAAAGCTCATACACAAGACTACTGACAACTAAAGATGTTGGGTATGTTTTGCCTAGGAAAGAAAAAGATTATCGGGAATATAAAACTTTCAAACATTATTTCTGTAAAGAATATGCTCTCTAATGCTTCTTAAAGATAGAGTATTTAAATATCAAAGAAAAAGGCTTTAATCTTATCTTTCTACTACCTACATAAAGCTTTCGGAAGATAAGCAAACACAATGAATGGGTAAATGTATTCTGTTTCAAATAACGTATTGTATCCCTGTCACAACACAAGTAAGCCAAGAACTAACTATCAAGGGCTCAAAAGACACAGGCATTTGGGCACAGTTGTTACTCTGTTTAACCTGAGTTTATTTAAATAAAATGTATGCAAGAACTGACTAGTAGGTCACAGAAGGGCAACTCTTACAGAAGAGGGTGGCCTCTGCAGCTAGCATCATGACAAGCACACGTGATGAACCTACGAAAGTACTTGTTGGGTCGGTTTTTAAATTACCTCCCTCTGAAGCAAAAAAAGAAAAAAAACTTAAATGGGGAGTGAACAAACTCCACCCTCGGTGGAAAGCCCTTTTCAAATGTCCAAGTGTATCCACTTTCCTGTTAAACAAGGGAAGCAACAAGAAAGAGTAACTCTCCTATTCATTACAGAGGAGATAAGGACGGGGCTTCTGCTTACAAACTCAATTCACTGCAAGTTGTCCCTTTAACTGCCCAACGAAAGCCAAATGGCCTCGGGTACTCACATCTTACCAAGACCCAAGTTCTTTCTGAAATGGGCTAAATGCACACACATATTCTCTTTCTTTTCTCTACATACCCCAGTTTGGGTAAAGAAGCAACACACTTTTTACTATAAGCAACAGAAATCAGAAAGTCTGAATTTAAAATTTTTCATACAATGACAGCTTCTGTAACATCCATCACAGGAACTACTACGCAGTTATGTCCTGTGTGCTAGAGGACCCAAATATAAGGCTGGTATCCCAGGAGGCTCAATGGCTGACACTTTAGATGATAAATGTTCAAAATTTCCTATTCCCCTGCTTTAGGCAGTGAGTGGCGAGTTATTTCAGCTATGCATCTCTTGTTCAGTTTAGGACGGTCTAACCTGTACTGACCCCTCTTGTTTAGTTTAGGACGGTCTAACCTGTACTGACCCCTCTTGTTTAGTTTAGGACAGTCTAACCTGTACTGACCCCTCTTGTTCAGTTTAGGACGGTCTAACCTGTACTGACCCCTCTTGTTTAGTTTAGGACGGTCTAACCTATACTGACCCCTCTTGTTTAGTTTAGGACGGTCTAACCTGTACTGACCCCTCTTGTTTAGTTTAGGACGGTCTAACCTATACTGACCCCTCTTGTTTAGTTTAGGACGGTCTAACCTGTACTGACCCCTCTTGTTTAGTTTAGGACGGTCTAACCTGTACTGACTCCTCTTGTTTAGTTTAGGACGGTCTAACCTGTACTGATGCCTTTCTAGGAGGAAGGAAGAACATGCTCAAAGGAATAGTGGAATTTGGGGGCTTGCTGGACAGGCTTGGGAACGGATACCTTTGAAGAGGGTGCCTAAAAGTGGGAATAACGCCATTGACAGGTGAGCAGAGATACAAGAAAGTACCAACACATACGAAAACACAGCTTATTCTCAAACTAAATCCATATCTCGGTTCATTTTAAACATAGATGAACTGCATGTGGCCATTCTGACCCAAAATGTCACTTTATACCAACAAGAAAAACTCTGGCTTATTAACATCTATACAGAACTTCATAGGATATTACTTTATTTCAAAATATTACTTGCTGATCACAGCAGAGGCAGGCATTTCTGTGGGCATTTCCACGGAAGTTCTTGCAGCTTCAAATGCAAGTTCATGGGACGGGAAAAAAGGAACTTTAGGTTTTAAGAAGCCAATGGACAAAGAAGTGGCATCAAATTCCAAATCTATCATCTATACAGCACGTATGCCCGCAGCATGCCCCAAGAAGATAGCATCAAACAACACACGTGAACCAGACCTCCCCAGGCTCCCCACAAGGTGATGCCAGAATCTGAGGACAGAGCTGGTGGGCAAGTGCTTGGAAAAGCACTCCAGGGGACTCTGAAACTCAACCCACAGCCCCTGCCCTTAGTGCCATTTCCCACTAAGAACATCATGCCACCCGCTCCTGAGACACTCTTTGGTCTTCTTCTCTACCAAATGTTAGCTAAGTGAAGTCACTAAAATAAGACATTTGAATTCGGTTGGCATATTCCAGTTTGTAAGAGGTAAAAATCAATCCATGAGTGGAAAGTCAACTATGCTTCCTCTCTCAGAATGTCAGTGCAAAGCTACATAGCAATTCCTGAAATCGAAGTTGTATATAGCCACGGCTTTGCAAAGTATTTATCAGCTAATTTATTAGCTCCATAAAGCAAATGTTCACAACCAAGTAGCAATTCAAAAAGAAAAACTAAAAGTTCAGAAACACCATCCACTTTCACTGAACTAAGGAGTGGTTCATTAAAGCAAGAAAATAAAGAAAATGGTGTCAAGGTTAGCATAAAGCCCCAGTGCACCTTATACCCTGTATCTTAAAATGTAGAGTCAGAGCATGGTTACTGACGGGTCATCTTAAAGAGCCCCGTGCAGAAGTAGCTGTATTTCAAAACCTCCTCGTTTCAGTGCTCCGGCTGCTCAGACTCCACTCTACTGCGATGTGTCTCACAAACTCACAAACTTCTTCACCTTGCTTACGTCTCCCTGGGGGTTTATGGCACCGGCACCGTACATCACTTCAGTCAACCTGATACCTCCCCAACGTCTCACTTCTGAAATCACCGGATAACAGGTGCATACCCACAAACTCAAACGTCTTACAAAATCAAGTAGTTGTCAAATCTATCCTGCATAGGCCACCATGCTGAAAGGGGACTTAGGGAACAATCTGAAAAAAAAAAAAAACATACCTTAATCGGAGCACAACTAAACTTAATTTTCCTATTTGCTGGGATTTCTTCCTCTTCCGGCAACCCGACGATCTCCGAGTACTCCATATCGGGCTCGTAGTCATTGTTCTCGTCGCTGTCGTCCTCCTCGTCCTGCTCAGTGCCCGTCTCCCCCCAGTCCGAGTTGTACCTGGATCTCACCCTATACACGTTATAGTCACTCTGCATGTACACATGGGAACTCTCATAATTATTCGAGTCTTCAAGCACTTCTCTTCCACAGCTGGATGCAGAAGCATCCGGCGAGGTGACATCACCTCCTGCCAGGTCTTTCTTCTGTGGCTGTACTGTCTCACTCCCAACCACATCAGCTTCGGCATCTTCTGAGGCTTCGTTCTGTGCTGGGAGGTGATCGGCAGAGGGCTCCTCAGGGATATCTGTGTCAGTGCTGGCCAGAGTCTCCTGGGGAGATGTGACGTCCTCCGCTCCCTTGCTCAGCTCTGTCTCCTCACTAGGCAGTGAAGCTAGAGAGGCGGCTTTCCGAGCCACTTCTGCAGCTGCAGGGGTTTTCTGAGGATCCTCGGTCTCCACACCTTGCTTGCTTGAAGAAGATCTTGAATTAGAATCCTTGAGGTGGCCGAAGGTATCCAGATTGGTAATGGTAACAGAGGGCAGAGTCAGAGGGTAATGTCCAGTCACCGAGTACTCACTACCCTCAGTCTTCTCAGAAGCCACGGCACTCGGAGACTCGGTGCTCTCGAACACCGCACTCAGCTGGCTCACTGTCGGGGACACCGCTTCAGTGCGGGGGCTCAGGCTGTCCAAGGAATCGCTGCTGCCTCGGTTGGACTTGGAAACCCCCCACTCATCCAGTGCTTCAGTGCCTCCGGCTTTCTCTTTCTTTGGGGAGTAGCGATTATTGTGCCCTGATTCATGCACACTTCTCTCAAACATTTTCCGCGTCTCTGTGAACTTAGCGTACGAAGGGCCATCGTGCATTGTGTCAAATCTACTAATTCGTTCGGAAACAGAGGACTCCAACTTAACCACTGAGCCATCTGTTTTCTCCACAAACTCTTTGGGCTTCATTCTTCTCTGGGGGGACGTAGGCCTACCTTTGCCCCTGGTTTTGGCAAGGACAGCAGCATTCTCGTTGGGTTCCATACCCATCTGCATAAATAGATTTTTAATCCTGTTGACATTGGAGCCATATTTCCTACCCCTGCTCTGCTGGGAGCCCTCACCCTCTCTTGTCTTCTGCTCCCCATCGGACTTGGGTTTGTCAAAAGTACTCTTCAGTGCCTGGAACTCTGTTCTGTATGCGTTTCTGTGAGGAGATGCACTTCTGAGAGTGCTTCGTTCCCCTGAAGACTCAGCTTTCAACATTGTTACTTCAAGGGTGAAAAGCCAGTGCTCATAATGATGGGGGAACAACAAGCGAGGAAAAGACGTCTCTTTCGAATGCCGGGTACTGGGTCAAGCAAAAGACCTCTGGAGTGACATGCCTTTCCAGTAGTGATCCCAACGGGTGTGTTAGCAATGCATTCACGTCAAGAGTTACACAAAATGGCTTTTTCAAAGCAAGGCTAGAGGGTCACCTGGAATAGAAAAGGATGCGTTTCTGAATTCATCTGAATTTCTGTCTAGTCAACTAATCGGCATTTAGCACACACTTTATGTTCCAAGTGGTTGAGTCACAGGGCAAATCCATTACTTCAAAAGCGGTCATTAAGGCCAAGAAGCTAAAAAGTTATTCTGATTGGTCTTTGGTTAACAAAAGTGTTTCAAACATAAGTTGGAGTCTTTACAAAACCACAACCTCCTCTTCCTCCCCACTCCCCTCCACCTGCACCCTACCCCACCCCCCTACTTGATAGTAATGCTTTCGCCTAAGTCTGGATATTTCTGTGAACGACTATGAAAGAACGCCTCAAAAAGTCACCCAAACGGCCATCCCATCTGGGAATTTTCCAGAGTCGTGCAGAACCGGGAAAAGTTTGGCGTCTGTTTCCAAACTCTAAAACAGGCCCACAAGGCTTATCTGGTGGTTCTGATCCAATATTCTCTTCCACAGAATGACCCAAGTAACAATTTCAGTGCAAATCCAGGACGAAACGGACAGAAGTTAGTTCTGGAATGTCAGTTAAGTTCCACTGTAAAGTTTCCTGGCCAAGAGGCTATTACTAATTAGAGTGGGATACAGTCTAGTAGGAATGGACGCACGAGAACGTCACAGCCAGAGAGCCAGTCTACCATGATACTCCCTTCCACAATCCTGATTCTTCTATTCTTTCTGGCCCCTAACTTTCTACAAGCTGGGGGAGAGAAAACAAAAAAACAAAAACGCGAAAGCCATGCAAGCTTGCTGTTCCCCAGCCCACGGCTGGGTTTTCTATCAATATGCCCACACTTCAGGCGCTCAATGCAGCTCTAAACATTCTTTTTTTTTTTTCATTTTGGTTTGGCTTGTTTTGGTTTAATATTAGACCAAACCACATCACCCTCATGCACCATAGGCAGAGGAAGCCCACAGTTTCACTTAAATCAGCTCCAAACTCATTTCCTGGCCCAGCAAGCAAGCATGGCCCATGCAGGCAAACAAGAAAGGCTTTCTGAGAGTGGTGCCTGTGGTTTGGGGGTTTTATGGTGGTTGTTGTTGTTGGTTTTGGTTTTGGTTTGTTTTTTTTTTTTCCTTTATTTCTTTTTTTGAATAGCGTTGACAATATCCTTTTACCCATAAACACCCTCCCCTCTCCCCAACCGGCACACGCCGTTCCCTCCCCCGCCCCTTCCAGCCCGAGGGGGCGGAGGCGGGGGCGAAAGGGCCGCCGGGGATTCAAAACCCTGCCCCTCACAAAAGACAAAACATAAATAACACCAACTTGAGAGGCAGCCGGTCCCCGAGCCCGGTTCGGGACGCAATCCCTCCCTCGGCCCCGGCCCCGGGGTAGGGCCGGGAGAGCAGGTGACGCCGAGCCTAGGAGGTCGCAGTCTAGCTCGGTGCCAGGAAGCACCTGAAGTCCTAACACATTGGCTGCGGCTCCCGGGGGGCTGCCAGGCGGATCCCGGGTGTGTGGCACCGGGAAGAGCCCAGCTCCGGGGCCACCGTCAGCAGAGAGAGAGAGAGCCAAGGCGAGGGGGGTGATGGTGACAAATGCCTCTCTTTTGCCTCCCAGTGTGCCGGGAAACAATAGATCCCACGGAGAAAGCCCCGGCCCCTCTCGCCCCGGCGCTCCCGACCGCAGCCCACCCCCACCGCCCGCGGGTCCGCCTTTGTGCACGCCGCCGCGTCCCCGCGCGCCCGCCCGCCGCCCGCCACCCGCCACCCGCACGCCGCCCCCTTACCGAGCGGCCCGGCCGGGCGGGAGGTCGGACTCCTCCGGCGGCCCCCGCCCGGGGCCCCCCGTGGCCGTGCGGGCTCGGCGCCGACCGTGTGCCCTCCACCCGCTCGTCACGGCGCGCTGCGCGCCGCGGCCGCCTGCACTCGCGCCTCGGCCCCCACGCGCGTCCTGCCCGCGCGGGGCGGCCCCGGGACGCGCGCTGCGCTCCCCGTTCCTCCCCCCCCCCACCCCCCGCCATGGCGGCCCGGCCTGGGGCCCCGACGCTAGCACCCTCGGCTGCGGCCTCGGGCTGGGACGCCGCTCGGCCCACGTGCAGGGGGGGTCCCCACGCCGGGGCCCCGAGGCCCGCGAGGCCCGGTGGAGTGGGGTGGGGGGTGGCGGGGGAGACAGCCTCGGGGGATGAGGAAGGCCCGGGGTAACAGGTGCCTCACCTCGGCTGATGGGATTAACTCTAGGGCCGCGGAGAGAGGGAGCCCAGCAGCGAATTCCCAGGAGAGGGAGAGAGGGAGCCTCTGGCGGCCAACGGAGGGCGAAAAGCACCGGCCCGAGGCAAGGCCGCCCCACCCCCAAGACCGTGGGTGTGGGGGCTCCGGGCTCAGGGCAAGGCCTGCACCTCTGGGGTCTGGCCGATGTGGGTTCCCGCCCTGATGGTGCGGAACCCACAGGGTCTACAGTCAACTTGGAGGCCTGCAAATGGCCTGGACTGGCCTAGAAGGCCAAGACCAAGGCCCTACTCCAGTGTGGCCTCCGCAGAGATGACCCGGCTGGACCTCAAGGCCCCAGTGCTACAAGGAAGGGGATGGAGAGGACTTTGGTCTGTCTCCTTGTACAGCTTTCCAGTTCACACTCCCTAGTTTTGCCCTTGAATAAACTCTCAACCCACCTTCTCCTCCCAAACACGCACGATGTTACATACTTTTCTCCCATATGCGAAAAGGACCTGGACGGTCAACGTAGATCCCATCCAAAAGTTCTATGGGGCAGAAATTACAACTTTTGAAAAGACAAGATCAGGTGTCTTGCCACATATGTGTGAGGTGCACATGGAATCCCAACACAGACAGGAGAATTGAGTTTGAGAATAACCTGGATTAAAAATCCAGCCGTTGTCTGGAGATGAAAAACAGCAGCAGGCCTGTAGTGGCTGAGTGGCTGACCTTTAATCCCAGCACTCACACTCAGGAGGCAGAGGCAGGGCGATCTCGGAATTCCAGGCCAGCCTGGGCTACCGATTGAGTTCAAGTACAGCCAGGGACACGAAGAGAAATGTCTGGCATGGGGGCGGGAGTAAAAACAGTTTGAAAATATATGTGTGTGCAGTAAAAAATAGCAAAATGGAGCCACCCTCTCAATACAGGCAATCTAGAAAGAGACAAAGCTGCTTAATAGTCCTAAAGCACTACAATATTGGATTCAGAATTTCTGCGGTACTGGTAGCCATGCCGAGGGACAGGGGCCTGACTTGGTGCTGCCGCCCTTTGGGCTGACCTATTTCCTATTAGCCAGTACAGAGCAGGCCCGGGGCTTGTTAAAGGACGTTTTAGAGTAGATCTTTAAGCACAGGATGAGTGGAGAGAGCGCTGAGGGCAGTGTGAAAACTCAACCAGAGCACAGATGTGGGCTCCTCAGAGTATGTCTCTGTCCGCCAGCATATGCCAATGCGTACCACTTCTGATATGTACCACTCATAGAAGTGTTGAGATTACTGTCTTCTAAGGGCCACCAGAGGTGCCCTCCAAGTTTCAGTTGATACTGTAGACTCTAGGTCTCTTGAATTTGGGAAGATAAGCTTTTTTGTTCCCTGTAAACGTGGTTAATAATCTTGCTTGAGATCCCTAGGAAATGTCTGAAAAATGGGCTGTGGCCCTCCCGAGGTCACATGGGGTCTAGCTTTAAGCCTGTTTCATAGCTACTTTAACATAGGATTGTGTGTGAAGGTGTGTGTTTATCTGTAGCTTTCCCAGCAGATGACACTAATTCTGCTGGACGTCTTTCCTCTCCCCTAGCAAGTGGCATTAGCTCGGAGATGAATGGCTTCTTTCCCCTCCATGTTCCAGTCATGTTCCCCCATCTTTCTAGCTTACCTTAGAATTGTCTTCAAGAATACATTGTAAGCCCCACCCCACCCCCAGTTTATTAAATAAAAATAGTACTGGACCGCATATATGTGTGTGTGCTTATCCTGCCATACCTAACCAAGAAGTTTAATTTGTAAGTAAGCCACGGTAAATTAGCAATTACAAAAAAAAAAAACAGAGAAATAAAACAATATACTGGAGCAGTTAATTAAGACAGAATTTTTCTAATAAAAGATAATTACATCTTTATAAGATGTATCTATGAGTATGTGTTTATGTATGTGTTTATGTGTCGAGTACGGATGTCCATGGAAGCCAGAAGTGGATCAGATTTCTTGGAACTGGGGTTACAGACAGTTATGAGCCACCTGGTGTGGGTGCTGGGAACCGAACTCTGGTCCTGCGAAGAACAATATAGGCACTTAACCTCTGAGCCATCTCTCCAGCCTGAAGCATCACCGCACACTGCAGACAGGAAAATGGAGGTTATGCCATGTGCAGCATTCACAATCCCATGGCCTAGAAGTGCACAGCAAGAATCTGTGCTGCGGAAGTAAAAACCTCTGCAGCTACTTAATTCTATAGGTCTGATTCACAGCCAGACAGTTCTCTTTCCTTTTTAAGCATCGCCATATTCTCTGTCCTTACCAAGAATGTGGCATTCCCTGTCTGTGAAGTGGATGCCACCTCTATAAGCATGAACAGATGTAACTGGCAGTGTGAGGGGGCTGTGGTTCCAGTCTCCACTTTGGGAAAGAACATTTGTGCTGTCTGGGATAATCTAGTAGAAAAGTTTTCTGTCATTTGTTTGCAGCATGGAAACCAGGTTTTTTGAGAGAATAGCCTAAATAAATGCAGCAAGTAATCACTGGATTCTGTCTGTAGAGGAGGAGGCAGAGTTGGAAAGAAAAAAAAAACAGTCTTACACTTTTTTGCAAAGCGATGAATCATACAGAAAAGGAACCTAAAGACTGCTTGGTTGTGTGTTTTTTTTTTTTCTGAAAATGTGAAATTTTGAAAAAGTCCATGCTGAGGGAATGACAGGTTCTTTAAACACAGTGCTGCTATGTGAAGGCTCTTGGATTCTCCATAATGGGCTCGTATGTCTAATATCTGTCAGCATGTTTGAAGGGTCTACCAGTCCGCACTGATCCAATGCATGTGGTTGTTGGATACATTTTAGCTACAACAACCATAATGGAAAGACTAAGTAGCTAACCGTGGCTAGAGGCCACCCTACTGGACAGAAACAGACATGGAACATTCCATCTCAGAAATCCCCATTGGATAGCACTTTTCATACACGAGAGGCATAAGGATTTTATAAAGGTTTGTGTAGTTCCGCAGCTTATTGTTGTCATGGAGATCAGAGGCATCCTTTTCACTTGTTGCATCTGGAAGGGGTGCTGTGGACTTTAGGGTTAGCATGTAAGGTAAAATGGATCTGCAGTTGGGATTTGCATTTTTCATATCAAAAGGCTCGTAGAGACCAAGTGTGATGTGCATCCTAGCATGGAGGGGGTGAGGAGGAGGATAGTGTTCAAACCTAGCTTGGATCAAAATAACAAAATAATAATAAAAAAAACCACAGAATATTGTGAGCTACTTTCCTTTTGCAAGCAATAATACACAAACTGGGAGAAATGACTACATGATCATAGGGGCCAAGGAGCAAGCATCTGACCTTCCTTCCTATTTTGGCCATAGACCCAGCGAGAGAGCATCTCTCCAGCCATCCCAAACCAAAAAGACCACGTAACCACCTATCCCTCCCTACTCCTTCCTGTGTGTCTCTATCTGTCTTCCCGGCTTTTCCATACTCTTTACGGCTAATTCCTGTCAACTAATTGCTGGCTCTGTCACCAGATCCAAGGTTGATTTTGTTGACACAGTCTCGGGGTTTACAGTGAGATCAAATATCCCCCAACACTTCAACCTTCAGAATCATATGTCATTTTTAAGAGGGGGCACACATGGGAGAAACACATCAATTCTTTCTAGCTGGCGTCAAATTGAGATTCAAATTGAAGGCATTTTAGTGTCACTCAAATGCAAGCATTCTTTTTACTCTAAAGATGCTAAGAGCAGTCGCCAGGCTGTGTAGTAGCATCACCCTTCCCTACACTGAGGAGGGAAATAAGGAGGGAAGACATTCCTAGGTGAAAGAACCAGAAGAGAGGAATTGACAAATGACAGGATTTCGGTCATTTCTATTCTGCTGGTTATCCTTGGTGAATTAACTATTAAAATAAACAAAGAGTTCTATTTGCAAATAATCAAGGGGTTTTTTTGCAAATTTATTCTATTCCAATATAGTTCTAATAAAACCTCCTTGGGAGGGTCTGCGATAGCCCCCCCCTTTGTTCAGAATTCACATTAACACATGCATTTTAACAAACTCTATCACTAAGTTTGTGTATATACTTGTCAGATTTTAGAAATCATTGAACAATAAACTTGCTCTGAATTTCTTAGTATGTTCTCCACAGTTTCCTTCTGTCATTTTGTTTGTTTGGCTAGCTGACTGGTTAGTGTTTTTCTTTTGCTAAAACCAGGCTGCTCTCTAAATCTCAGGCTAACCTTTTGCCTCAGCCTCCCCTGTGTTGGGATGCTAGGTCTGATATTCTGTGCTACCACATTAGACTTCCGTGGTACTGTGATGTGCTTTGCTGTGCTTGAAACAGGGTTTTGCTCCGTAGCCTGGCTGGTCTGATACTATGTAGTCCAGGTTGGCCTAGAGCTCACAGTAATCTTCCTTCCTCAACATCCTGAGTGCTGAGATTACACGCTAGCATGCCTGAACCCACAGGTTTTTAGCAACTGTAATTATAATGTCTACTGAAGACTTTTACCAAGGACTTCCCATGCCCGTATATCCTGCCTTCAGTATTAGGCACTGAACTCAGGGATTTGAACATGCAAGGCAATTCGCTACCACTAACATACATCCTCAATTCTTTTTCTTATTTTATTTTGAGGCAGGGTCTCACTAAATTGCCTGGGCTTCATTTACCATTATTTAAGACATTATTTTTAATGAAGGATGAAAATATCATAATGCCACACATGATTATATATTATTTAATGTCTGAATTATACACATGGTAAATCTTTAGTTGA